GTTATTGTTATTGTGTTACTGTCTACCGTCTCATCTTCTGTCCTATTTATATACTGCGCCCGAGTGACTCATGAGAAACACTTTTCACTCTACCATGCACCTGTGTAAGTATCATGACAAATAAAGATGAATTGAGGCAAACGTGTATTCAGCGTTCTTCCTGTCCTGTGGCTGTGGAAGTGCTTTTCGTTCATACCTCAGGGTAATCTGCGGCCTTGTTTTTGAAAATACCTTCTCTATCTCGCTTGTACCATCATGAATGCTTGCAGATTCAGTATACAATTCATACAATACAGTTTCATACAATTCGCTGTTCGTTTAGCACCTGCGTCCCTCACATTCACACAGTTTGGAATGGAAAAACAGGTTCTGTACTATAGCAATGTGAGGGTTTTAATTTACTATAACAATTCATTTGTAACGGTACACTTCAACAGTGCTTTGAAGACTTCAGAGTGAAACACAATAATTTACATACTCCCACACCGATTTCTAAATAATTTATTGAGAGTACAGTTAAACATGCATAACCACAAAAGTAACAGGATATATAAGTCAAATGATGTGCTGGGATAGAAAAGGCCGATCATTCACTCGAGGGTTTACAAAATAAGAATTAAGAGCGTTTGAGATGAAATACATCAACTAGATGTATGTTATGATCTACCTCGTGCGTTTCATATCAGTCTCACGTAGTTAAATCGCATATTCTCAGATACGAGCAAAACAGCACTTACCTCCAGAAACTAACAAACATGTTCGGAACAGTAGCTCAACTTTCGAGAATTATAATGCGAATAATGAAGTTTACTGTTGGAAACACAGAGCTGGCCTGTGCATATCCCAGTGCAGAGAGAAAGGGAGAGGGAGGGCTTTGCCTAGCATTTCCAAGGAAACTTCTGCCTGTAGTTAGCTGGAGGAGGGAGTCACCTTGACTATATATTTTTTTGCTGAATATACCTGGATATTCAGGATGTCAGTATCAGGCAAAAATAACGGTGGGCTCATGAACACAAGGTTTTTTCTGCTGCAGAAAGAATATTTTGGGGGCAGAATACTGCTTTTTAACGGACTCATTCTCTCAGCCTGGCAACCTAATAGAAATGTTATGTCTGTTAGAAATGTTACGTAATGTTAGAGAATTATGTCCTCACTGCTGGCAGACACAAGGTTGGTCAAGTATGATTGGTTAGGGTGTAATCAGGTATAATAATATTAATTAATAATTGCTTACACTTATAGAGAGCTTTTCTGGACACTCCACTCAAAGCGCTGCACAGGGAATGGGGAAATCCCACTACCGCCACCAGTGTGCAGCCCCCACCTGGATGATGCGACGGCAGCCATAGTGCGCCAGAACGCTCCCCACACA